TAACACTTACCCAAAACCCGGACCCCAACCTCAAACACTAAACCTAGCCCCAAACAGTACTCACTACTCATTACTCACGACGTTCTACCCACTATTCACTACTCACTACTCACTTCTCACTACTCAACTACTCACTACTCACTACTCACGGCTCACTACGCACTACCCACTACTCACTACCCACTACTCAGTTGTCACTACTCCCGACTCACTACTCCCACTTCCCAACCCACTACTCACTACTCACTACCCACTACTCAATACTCACTACTCACTAAACACCACCTACTACCCACGACTCACTACTCACGAATCAGTACACACTACCCACTAACCACGATCCACTACGCACTATTGACTACAGACAGTTCACTACTCACTATTCACTGCCCACAACTCACTACGCACTATACATTGCTCGCTACTCGCTACTCCCTACTTGCTACACGGTACTCACTACTCACTACTCACTACTCCCTACTCGCAATTCGCCACCAGATACGGACGAATTCGCTACCCACTACTCACTTCTCACTACTCACTCCTCCCTCCTCCCTACTCAAAGGTCACTAGTCACTAATCACTACTCACTACGCACTACTCACTACTCACTACTCACTACTTGCAACTCACGACTCATTGCTCACTACTCCCTACTCCATACTCACTACCCACTACTCACTACCCACTTTTCATTTCACACTACTCGCTACCCACTACTCAATACTCACTACTCCCTACTCACTACTCACTACTGTCTACTCCTTCCTCGCTACTCACTACTCACAACGCCCTACTCGCTACTCACTACTCACTACTCCCTACTCCCTCTTCGCTACTCACTACCCACTACCTACTCCCCACGACCCATTACTCACTGCTCACTACTCCCAAAACACTACTCACTAAGCACTACTCACTACTCAGTACTCACTACTCAATACTCGCTCCCCACTACTCGCTACTGTCTACGCACTATTCACTACTCAGTGTTCTTTACTCACTACTCACTACTCACTATGTATTACCCTCTACTCACTACTCACTACTCACTACTCACCACCCACTACTCACTATCCACTACTCTCTCCTCACTAGTCACTACTCCATACTCCCTAGTCAGCACTCACGACTCATTACTCACTACTCACTCCCTACTACTCACTACTCGCTACTCGCTACTCACTACTCGGTACTCAATACTCACTATTCCCCCTCCCCCCCTTTTCCGGTCTGTCGTCGGACACCCTCCCCCCTTCCAGCGCCAACGCGGGGAGGGGGGGGGGGTCCGGACCCACCCCCCCTTCAAGGAGGGGAGAAGGTTCGGACCCCCTCTGCCCCCGCAAGGGGGGGAGGGTCGAAAATCCAACCCCCCCTTTGAAGGGGGGGGGGTTCTGCGAGCACACCCCCCCATGTCACTTACAGGGTGATCCAGTAGCGCGCTTTCCGTCTCGCGCCAAATCTTCCAGGGCGGCCCGCGTCGGCCCGCGGTTCAACCGCGTCTTGTCGCACGACTGCGTTGGACCCAAGAGGGCCCCAAGACGGGCCAAGAGGGCCCCGAGAAGCCACCAAGGCGGTCCAGGGAGGCCCCGAGTCGCCGAACGATCGCTCTAAGACGCTCAAGATTGCTCAGAGAAGCCTCCAACACTTCCAAAAAAAGACCTCCAAGAGGCCTACGAAGAGGGCCCCGAGAAGCCAAAATCATTGATTTTCAAAAGGTGTTTGAAGGACTTGGGCGTTGTCGCCGTTCTGGCTTCCCGACGCCCACAGACAGCCCTAGAGGCCCCCAAGACCGCCCCACGACGGCCCAAGAGGCCTCCAAGAGCAAAACGGACCAAGAGGGTCACAAGACAGCCCAAGAGGCGCCCAAGACAGCCCCAAAAGAAGCCCAAAAGAGGGAACACGAATCGAAAATCCGAGCCTTCCGCCCCAAGAGACCCTAGGAGGCCCAAGGAGGCGACCGGGAGGCCCCAAGAGGCCCCCAAGAGACCCCAATAGGCCCCCAAAAGGCCCCCAAGAGGCCCAAAGAAGCCCCAAAAGGCTCCCAAACGGCCCCCAAGAGGCGTCCACCCGAGAAGCGAAGCCTCCCACGGGATCCCAAAGAACATCCAATATGCTTCATCCCCACAACCCAGGCCCGGTGGCGGGATGGGCCGAAGGCCATTAGATACATATACATAAACACGAACAAGTGCACAGCGTATGTTTAGACATATACACATAGGTATATATCAAAACATACATGCATCCATCCATCCATCCATCCATGCATGCATGCATACATGCATTCATACATACATGCATACATGCATACATGCATGCATGCATGCATACAAACATACATACACACATGCATGCATACATGCATACATTACATACGTGAATACATACATACATACACACATACATATATATATATATATATATATATATATATATATATACGTACATACATACATACACATATACTTACATGCATATATACATGTATATATATATACATGCAGACATACATACATACATACATACATACATATATACATGCATGCATGCATACATACATACATACAGATACACATGTACACCTATACACCCACACACATATATATATATATATATATACATATATATATATATATATAGCGTCCTCGCTTTGTCTAGCTGCCAACGCTCAAAGACGGCCAAACAGGACCCCGAGATCGCCACAAGACGGCCCAAATGCCCCAAAGAAAGCCCAGAACAGCCCGAAAGGGGCCCAATACGGCCCAGGAGGGGCCCCGAGAGGGGCCCCGAGAGGGGCCCAGGAGGGAAACTTGAATAGACATTCCGAGCCTGTCCCCCGAAAGATGGCCCCCGAGACTGCAAGCAAGGCCCAAAATACAAAACGGAGACTGAAGCGCACCCAAGAAGTCAAAAGCATCAAACAAAACAATAAAGCTAGCAGGAGGAGGGAGGAGGGGAAGAGGGGTAAAGGAGGAGGAAAAGAAGAGATGCAAGAGAGAGGAGGAGGAGGAGGAGGTGGAGGAGGAGGTGGAAGAGGAGGAGAAGTTGGAAGGGGATACGGCAAGAATAGGGAGGGAGGGAAAGGTGCCAGCGACCAGAACCACATACTAGACAGGGCCTCCTGGGGCCTCCTGGGGCCCCCTGGACCTCCTGGAACCTCCTTGGCGCGTCCTCCTGAGGCCCCCCAAAACATCGTATGGCCTCCTACAGCCTCCCGGGGCCACAGGAGGCATCCCAGAACATCCTGTGGCCTCCTGGGGACTAGTGGGGGGGCCCTCTTGTTATAGGGGCCTTATGATGCATCCTGCGGGTGGCATGGGGATGTGTATCCGATATGGTAGGTAGCGGCGTGTTTAATATGCATACACCTACGCATACATACATGCATGTGGTGCGCACTGCCAAAATACATGTTTGTACGTGTGTACACGCGCGTACGTACATCTACGCACATGCATATACAAACTTGCATGCGTATGTGTGCGTATAAACACGTGCGTATGTATATGAAAATACCGTTATGGGAAGAGAACAAAGTAGCAACACATATACAACCAAATGTACCCACCGTTAACACAGGGATAAAAACATACATGCCTGTTTATGTAAAACGACATAGCGGTATACGACATCAGATGGCTGCCTACACGCATACAGATGACATACATGTACGCAAACAACAATGCATACATAACAACAAACATACATGCATGCATGCATACATACGTACACGCCGACGTATGCGTACAGACAGACAGACAAACAGGCAGACGGACCTGTATGCATGCATGTGTAGATATATACGGGTGCTGTTGTATTTTTCTGGTGGGGACAATATCTGCTACATCGTGCCACGCGTCGACGCGACTCGACGCCAGTCGATCGAAACACAGAGCAAGTCGAGAGCCGTGCGACTAGGACGGCCCCCGCTCAAGACATCCCGAAAGAGACGGGCCAGGGAGGGGGGGGCGAGAGAAGAGAGGCTTGAGCATATATTATGGCAACAAGGAGACATCACCCGAAGCAATACCCCTCACCTTCCCGTGCAAGCACACACAGGTGCTGTTGTATTTTTCTCGTGGAGACAATATCTGCTACAAGGTGCCACGCGTCGACGCGACTCGACGCCAGTCGATCGAAACACAATGCAAGTCGAGAGCCGTGCGACTAGGACGGCTCCCGCTCAAGACATCCCAAACCCGAAGAGGGCTACCCGAGCCCTGAAGGTTCCCAGGGACGGGCGGGACAGGGCACCAAAAAGCGAAACAATGACGAGCCAAAAACACACAGCGCTGGCGGGGCAGAAGGCCGGCGTCAGCCAGACACTAGGGAGGCAATGCGATCACGCTCATGGGACAACAGCATTTGGACCATGGCTTTACACAAGCAGGGGGGGTAAGAAGCTGCTATTGCCGCCCACTTTACACCAGATGGAGCAGCCCCTTCCAGCACGAAGTGTCTTCTACCAGTGCGACTGCACACCCCCGAGCTCCCTTTGCACCTTCGATCGAATTTCAGTGTATCGGACACGTCAATGAAAAAGAATGCAAGGTTTGTGCGTTTACGCCAACAACGTCCGAACTGACACTGGTCAAAAGTCCTAGTGTGGACACGGAACCTTCTGAGGAGATCAATGAGCTCGGGGGTATGCCAAATTCTCGAATTCACGGGATGCTCTAGAATCGTTGGAACCTGACATTTACACAGCACACGTAAAAGCTGTAGAGCACACCAAAAGATATTGTTGCCGCGCTCTAAGCGCTCACACTGACGCTTTGTCAACTCGTTAGCATCGAGACCCCACGGCTGCTCTTTCGAACGGATAGGGCCGTCTTTGCCCCTGTCCGCCGCTCCACCCCGGGCATCGCACGGTGGGCCCATGGCCGCACCCATCACTTCCTGCCGTTTGACTGCCGCAGTCACACATTTGATCACTCTGGGCACCGTCAGGTCCTCGCTGGGCCCATGGGCCCGATCATACGCATGAGCATTGCAACCTTGCTGGACAGCGGCCCGCGCGACGCCACCAGTCCCCGCATAAAGGTCGAGGATGTAGCGACCCTTGAAATGCCCCGCCAATGGGGCGCCACGCCGTGCGGTCTGCCGGGTGGTATGTCCTCGAGCGCTGCTCCGCATGCCTCCAGCAGCTGGGATCTCCTGTCTGGGAGCAGCTCCCAACTCCTCGCCAACCTGACGTCCTCGTCGAACCGCTGGACACTCACGATGCTTCCACCCTGTCCGCGACGCTGGGCCTCCGGCCCCGTCCGATGCTGCCCGAAGATGTCGATCGACGGTCCCACGTGCCGCCTCGGGTGCTGCACTATCGCCTCTGCGATGCTCGGCTCGCCCCGCGAAAAGTTCGGCTTCCGGAGACTCTGGAGATACGTGAACGTCCGAACCACCTGGTCCTTCGGCCCATCGGCCATCACTCTCTGGACGGGCCTTATGAACCGCAAGAGCGGCGAGCCCCTCTCGATGCTGACGTCGCTGCGGGCGGCACTGCTCCGCTCGATCCGCTGTGAGAGGGAGAACAGCAGGCTCCAAGAAAGGGAGATGCCACCTGCAGGCGCAATCGTACCACGCGCCTTGAGACTCATCAGCTTGCTCGCCCCCCAGCGGCTGCCCAGCGAGACCGACCACAGGACCGAGGCCTGCAGAGGGAAAGGGCCGGCCAACATCCTGGCCACTCCAGCCCACACCGTCAGAGACCAGCTGCGCCAGCTGCGGCCGGGGGGCCCCTGCCGCCAGACCCTCCGGCAGCGGCAGGCCTGGGGGGGCCCGCAGCGGCCAGCCCTCGAGAGCTCCGCCGTCGAAAACATCAGGCCTGCAAGGATCTGAATGCCCTCGCCGGCGCCCCGGCTCATGAAGAGGAGCAAACTGAGGTACCCTATTCGCATGCCGTCGACCAGCTCGCCGTGCACTCGCGGGCGCTCTCCCTCCGAAGAGTCGAAGCCCGCCGACCGGCTCCGGCATCGCCCCAGCACCTCCAGCGCCACCGAGCTCCCGCTGGGGGAGCGGTGGGCGCCCCTGGCCGCGGCCGTCAGGACGGTGATCACCTGCTCTCGTCCTCTCTGGCGGCCCGCGCGCTTCCGCGCTGCTCCCAGCGCGGCGCCAGGCCCTGGCCCCCCCTCGCCGCTGGTGCTGCTGCTCTCGCCGACGTCTGCCAGCCTGGGCGCGGGCTTCAGGCGATCCTCGTTGTCGGAGGGAGCCCTTCCGCGGCGACTGCCACTCAGCCTGCCGCGCAGCGCCGGCTGGACGCCTGGCGGCCGCAAGGTGGCCTTCCTCTGGCTGGCCAGCGTCTCGAGCCCCAGCTGGCCCTCGCTCGGCCGAGCCTCCGACGACGGCAGCATCGCCTACCGCCTGCGGCGGCCCATCGCCTCTCTGGCTCGTGAAATCTGGATGATCACAGAAAGTACGTGGTAAGCAGGGAGGCGAAATGTCTACGTAACGGGAGAGGGGAGAGACAGAAGCAACAGCAGCTACTCTACACAGGTTCGGGGATTACGGGTATTTCGAAGTCTCCTTTAAATTGTTGCCTTTGACACTCAAAAACGAAGGAATCTCATCCACTAACGTCTTACTGGCGCTGCTATTCTCAAAAATCCTAGCACCCTTATCCGATAAGTTCAACTCGGAAGAGATCCAACGCACAGCCCCTAAGGCATTCCTGGCCAAGCAGTGAGCCTGGAAGACGCGAGTCCGAACGAGAAGCAGAAAGTTTGTGGCACGACTACGGCCGAAGGCGAGGGTGACCGACATATTGTCACACAACAAAAGCTGCCTCATATAACACACTCGCGAGCTAGTTACAACACGAATGAAACCTTCGACAAGAGCACGAGCCTCCTTCACCAGAATTTCCTCAGAACGCTGCCACATTTGCACTCTCACCAGTCGCCGCAAAACTGACTTCAGAAGATTAGCGGGCACCTCGGGAAAAGACTGATCTACTTCCCACTCTGACGCCTCCTCGGAAGCACCACTCTCTTCATCAAACCCTTCGGCGGCTGCGACTGCCCAGCTTCCGTCCGCCTGCCGACAGAAGCCCGCCGTCTGGAGGGCGCTCTCTCGAGCCCGATGGGAGCCCACTCGGCGGAAGCGTTGGCGCTCAGAGGTGCGACCCACCTCGCGTACGGCCTGCAAAGGCCAGAGCGCCTGCGCCACAGCGCGCCCCTCAAGGCCGCTGTCGGTCTGGACCACCAGGTCGTTCCAGCTTAGGAGCCAGTCACTGAACATGAAGATCACTAGCGACCTGAAGGCCTGTAATTCGGAGCGGCACTCGCCCCACAGCGGCTCTGCCCGTCCTGAGGCGCGGCCCCGCTCCACGAAGGCATACACCGAATGGAAAACACTGAGCAGGCCTCGGCAGCACAAGGCGGCAAACGCGCAGTGCCCCAAGACGACCTCGAGCGCCCACGCGCTGGCCCGCCGGCGCCGCAGCAGCGCACCCAAAGCCTGGTATATGTTCCAGAATCGCTTGGGCGCGACGCGCGTCCGCAGCGCCGCCCCGTCGAGCTCCGTGGCGAGCGCGACGATGCCGCCGTGCGAGCGCTCCGACTTGCGCAGCAGCAGCTGCTCGAGCGCGTCGCCAACTGCGGCCTCACAGGCGCCTATCACTCCGAGGCTGTCTACATACACATAGTGGCTGAGCGCGTTGAATTCCTCCCCCAGGGCAGGTCTCACCACCAGCGGCGGTCCGCGATCGCGCAGAGGGGGTCCAGGCAGAGAGGGCGTCACCTTGGTCACGGTGGTCTCGTTGATCATCTGAGCGATCCATAGGTGAAGCCCATGGGGAGCACAGCCCAGCACGGTGTTACTGCCTCCGCGCGGCCAAGAACACGCCCGTTAACCTCCGCGCCCGCCGCACCCATCACGTGAGCCGGCGCAGGAGGGAGGCAGAAATAGTCAGACAGCCAAGCTGGCACGCGCAACCTGCGGGAACAGTTCGAGACGTCCGAGAGGCCGATCGAGAGGCAGAAGTCCTCCAACAACTTCGCGGCCTGTTCGGACCCCAGCGGCGCGCTAGCGGGCAGCTCCACCTCTATTCTCGACAGGCCCTCCGAACTCAGGAGCGACACCCCGGGCGGCGCCTGAAAGCACTCATTGGCCCGCCTGGCGTCGACGATCAACCTCTGGGCTGCACCGCCATCCTTCTCCAGCGCGAAGAGACCCACATTGCACTTCGGGGAACTGGTCCAAGTAATGATGCCAATGTCCGCCATACGGCGGAGGAGCCGATGATATTCTTTCTGATTAAAACGTAGCTTGGGATCGAACTAGGGGACCGTCTCGCATTTCTCAACGGGCGGCGCCAGCATGCGCTCATGATAGTCCTCCAGAAATCCGATAACCTCTGAGGGCGCCACGTCCGTGATCAGTGGACACCCTCGGACAGAGCCAGGGAGGCCCAGGAGGTCGAGCTTGAAGGACGTGACCCTTGTCGGACACCCCGCAGCCTGACATGGGGAATGTCCTTGAAGCAACTTCTTGAGAGCCGCCTCGTCGCTGAGAGGCGGAGGGCGCGGGTACCAGCTATCAACCAACTCACACACCCTCCGCTGGACGTCCGCCTGCACGTCATCGGGCAGGCCGTCTGGGCCGCGATTCGCCCACAAAAACTCCTTCCAGCCTGCCATCCAGTTCAGTGATTTCAGCGCGTCGTTCACCATCACAAGGCGATCACTGCCGCGCCCCGGGCGCACCGAATCCAACGGCACCAGAGGGAGCGGAAAGAGGCTTCGCTGCCCCCGCGAGGCCGCCAGTCTGGGGCGGCCGCCAGCCCCCTGAAGCCGGCCAGGGTCGGGGGACCCCCTGGCCGGCGGAGCCGTCGTGGGCCCCAGGGGGTGTCGACACCGCGGCTTCGGCCTCTGCTGCCGTCACCGCGTCCGCGACCACCCCCGCCTCCCGTGCCCTCGCTTCCAGCGCTGCTGCCCACGCTGCCGCCGCCGCCGCCTGCGCCTGGGACGCCTGCCAGCCCGCGAGAGGGGGCTCAGAAGCGGGCCTGCAAGCCCTCGCAATCCTCGTGCAGCCTGCGTGCCACAGGGACCCACGTCACTGAGCCTGCAGCGACCTCGGCGGGCTGCACGTCAGCGTAGTACTTCGCCACCTCCCACGGCACGACGTGCGGATGAGCGTGAGCCGCCACGAAGCTTACCAGTCGCTCACACCAAACTTCCAGCGCCGTCAGAGCACCCAGACTCACCAGGTCGCAGCCGTACGCCAGATACCCTTCCTCGCATACACAACGTGACACGTGGGCGGAACGATCCGTGGTGGCCAAACCCATCTCTCGAAGGTACTCATCGAGCCACAACCGCGAATCGCCGCCTACCTCGACTGGCAGATGCACCACTCTGGCGGACACGGTGTCGTCCGAATAGCCCTGGCAGCCATCGTCCTGGAAGTACTCATCGCCGTCTGGCCCACCGATCCACAAAACGTCATCGCCGAGAAGATGGAGCAAACTGCTCTTGTGATCTACGCCGTCGCCGTCGTACTCCACGGCCCCGTATTGGCCGAAAACCAGCTCACTGTACCACTCCGCCTCCACGTCGAGCGGGAGGCGCGCCATGCCTAACCGCAGCGGATCGGCCTCGCACGCAACAGCGGCCCACCACGACGCCCAAGAGGTTGGTGAGCACGGGCGGTAGCAGCAGCCACACAGCCTGCTCCTCCGGCGACGGGCCCTGCAGCTCCACCTGCGGGCAGACGCAGGCCGGGCGCTGGGCACTGGGGTACCACTGGGCACACCGCCTCCAGCCAGGCGGGCGAGCCCTCGGGATCGCCACCGCCCAGCACCGCGTCGGCGTCGGGCTGCGGCGGCGGGGGCGGCGGCCCGCCAACACCCAGCAGACCCTCGGGCAGCAGGCCGACCTCGGCGGCGCGCCAGCCAGCCCAGGCGAGGGCCACCGCGAGGACCGCGATCGGGGGCCGGCCGTCGGCAGGTCCCATGGGCGCCTCTGACGAGAGAAGAGAGGCTTGAGCATAGATTATGGCAACAAGGAGACATCACCCGAAGCAATACCCCTCACCTTCCCGTGCAAGCACACACATACAAACATATATACATCGGCAGGCATGACTGCGGGCATACATGTATGTATATATGCATAAAAACATGCACACATGTATGTATGCATGCATGCGTACATGCAACGTATGAAACATAAATGCATGCATACATGCATACATGCATGCATGCTGGCATGCAAACAAACAGACATACACACATGTCTGCATACATACACACATGCATACAGAATTACATGTTTACTTACGTACGTCCGTACGCATACACATACACACACACACACACATACACACACACACACACACACACATACACTAGAACCATCGCGCGCGCGCTTCGCGCGCGCTCAGGTTCTAGCCCAGGCCGGGGGGGCGCTGGACGATCTTGGACAACGCTATCAAGCACAGGCGCGCGACGGCATCTGAGGAGCTTCTGGGGTGTTCCGCATGCTTCGTCAACTGGCTGTTGGAGGCACCTCTTGGGTGCCTCTTGGGGGGGCGTCTGAGGGTCCCTTGGGGGCATCGGTTCTGCAGTCTGAAGCCGTCATTGGCCGTCTTGGCTGCGTGTAGGCCCGACTTGAGGCCACCTGCGGCCAGATTGAGGCAATCCGGAAGCCTCCCGGGGGCCTCCTGGAAGCAGTTTTGACGCATCGAGGGCACTCTTGGGCTATTTGAAAGCCTCTTGGACGTCTCCCACGGGCCTTTTGGGCCCTCGGGGAGCTTTTGGGGTCCTCGTCGGACCACTTTGGGGCCTCTTGCAGCCTCCTGTGGGCCTTGTGGGGGGGCCGCTCTGCTGTTGGGTCGCGTTCCCCTTCTCGGGCCTCTCTTGGGGCTCTTGGGGCCCTCTCGGGCCGTCTTGGGCGCCTCAAGCACCGTCTTGGGGCCCTCGCGGGCCGTCTTGGGGCCCTCTTGGAGGCCTCTTCCTCTATGTGGGAGCGGTATTGGAAGCCTTTGGGGCCGTCTTGGAGCATCGGGATGCCAAAAGGCAGAAAAAAAACGTCAAAGCCCAATCGTAAAACAATGAGTTGTGCCTCTTGGGGCCACCTTGGGAGATCTCTTGGAGCCTTGTCGGCCCTCTTGGGAGCTTCTTGGGGGCCTCTTGGATCCGATTGGGGGCCTCCTGGGACTTCCCGAGAACCTCTCGGGGTAGAAAGCTCGGATTCTCGGTTCATGTTTCCCTTCTTGGGCCTCTCTTGGGGCCGTCTGGGAGCCCTCTCGGGCCGTCTCGGGCGCCTCAGGCACCGCCTTGGGGCCCTCGTGGGCCGCCCAGGGCCCTCTTGGAAGCCTCTTCGGCTATCTTGGAGCTGTCTGGGAGGCCTCTTCCTCCTCCTCGTCCCCCTCCTCCTCCTCCCACTCCAGCTCTCTCTCTCCTCCTGATCTTCCTCCTCCTCCTGCAGCGTGTTCCGGAAGGCTCCCGCCGGAACATGCTGTGCACAAGTGCTGTCACTGCTGCCGCCACCGTGCCCTGGGTGGTGGGTCAGAGGCCTCATGGGTGTTGGTTTGGATCTCGTGGTTGGCCTGTCGGGGACGTCGTGAAGGCAGTTTCGCAGCTTCTCGGTAGCCGTTTTGGGACCGTTGTGGGGCCTCCTCGGGGCTGCTTTGTGGCCTCTTTAGGCCTCGTTTGGGCCTCCTGGGTGCCTCTTGGGGGCCTCCTGGGGCCTCTTGGGGGCTCCTTGGGGCCTCCTGGGGCACTCTTCAAGCGGGAGGGTCGAATTTTGGAGTCGTGGTCCCCCTCTTGGGCGCATCTTGGGGCCGTCTTGGGGCTCTGTTGGGCTGTCTTGGGCGACTCTGGGGCCGTCTTGGGGCCCTCTTGGGCCGTCTTGGGGCGCTCTTGGGGGCCTATTGAGCCGTCGTGGAACGTCGGACAGCCGAAAAGGCTGGAAGGCCAAAATCGTTCGAAAACCTTCGTAAAATTGACGATTTCGGCCTCTGGAAGCGCTCTGGAGAGGCGTCTTGAAGCGTCGTGGAGTGCCTTGGGGGCCTCTCGGGCCGTCTTGGGCCTATCTTGGGCGTCCTGGAGCGGTCTTTCGGCGACTCGGGGCCCGCTTGGGCCGTCTTGGGAGCCTCTGGAGGCCCTCCTGGACTATTTTGGACCTCCCCGGCCGCCCCTCCTCCCATGGGGGGTCGGAGGCGGCGCCCTCCGAGGCCCAGGACGCGGAAACCCTTTAAAAACACAGGGAAAATGAGCCCCAGTACCCCCATGGAGGCTTTTCGGCGCTCTTGGACCGATGGGAGCTCGAAAACGCGAGAAGCCAAAAACATTGAAAAGAACATTGAACATATACGACTTTGGCCTCTCCGGGCCGTACCGCGATACCTATCAGACTTCTTGGGGTCTCTTGGAGGCCACCTGGGAGCCTCGAGAGCCGTCGGAAGGCTGACTTGGGCTGCTCGGGAGCGTCTTGGGCCCTCCTGGAGCGCTGTGGAGGCTGCCCAGAAAGGCTGGGGCAGCAGTGCCGGGAGCGTCCCCGAGATGTGGCCATATCTTTTCAGCGCGTTCCAGGAGCATCTTCCCGGAACGCGCTCGTGGCAGGGCGCCCACGTCCGAGGACGTTGGCATGGGAAACCGCAGCGCGTGATCATTCCAGCGCGTTCCGGCGAAGACCGTCCGGAACGCGCTTGGGCAAGCGCTGGGTTTGAGTAAGGCGAGTGGGAACCGTTCAGGCAGTTTGGGATGCTCGGGGCAAGAGGCGGAAGCCATCCTCAGAAGACATGCAGTCTTCCTGGAGCCGTCTTGCAGAAAACAAAAAAATGAGACCCTGCAGTCGTTCCTGGAGCCGTCTTGGAGCCCTCTTGGGCTGCCCTGGAGCCTGTTGGAGCCCTCTGCGGAATGGTCTTGGAGCCCGCGCCGAGGATCTGGAAAATGTCCGGGACCATCGCGGCGGCCTCCGAGGCCCGGGACGCCGAACCCCCGTGAAAACACAGCGAAAATGAGCCCCGGTACTCGCATGGAGGGTCGGGCAGCTGTTTTCGGGCCCCTGGGTTAGAACCATCGCGCGCGCTTCGCGCGCGCTCAGGTTCTAGCCCAGGCCGGGGGGCGCTGGACGATCTTGGACAACGCTATCAAGCACAGGCGCGCGACGGCATCTGAGGAGCTTCTGGGGTGTTCCGCATGCTTCGTCAACTGGCTGTTGGAGGCACCTCTTGGGTGCTTCTTGGGGGGGCGTCTGAGGGTCCCTTGGGGGCATCGGTT